TAGGCATATATATATATATATATATATATACACACACAAAATGAGCTGGCCCAGATCCGGCATGGTGCTGGACCAGATCCGGCCCACATTTGGGCCAAATCACCATAAAGGAATCCGCATCTGGTCCAGAGCTGACCCAGTTCTGGAAAAACGGATCCGTGCCGGTATTGGCCCGTTGTGCCAAAAGACACCGGCCCGAGTCCGTTGTGCGGATCTGGACCAGAACTTCAGATGGGTCTGGGCCAGATCTGGCCCAGATGATTTTTGCTATCTGGGTAATGATGTTGATAATGACATAAATTTATTAAAAACACCTCATCAGAATTTGAAATAAGGCAAAACCAATTACTTGAAAGAGTAAAGTTTATTCCATTTCCTCATTGTCCTCAGGACATTCAACCCTCTAATCATTTAAACACATTTCATAAATAGAGATCTGGTCATTTGTGGGGTTGACTGTACAGAATAAAACCTCAGAATTGAATATTAGAAAAAAAGAAAGAAACAAATGGGTCAAATGTGTGGATTGTGGGTTATATATTTACAACATACAATAGAAGAGGGAAGAAAAGTAATTAAAGAATTAATGAGCATCTACTGGCACAATGCAACTGCAAAGCAACCTGTTAATATGACATGTTAACAGCACACGGGGGATATTTTAAAGAGATTTATACGTATATTCAGATGATTTGCAAGCATGAGTATACAACATTACTCTCAACCAGACAGCAGTTTTCAGCCCCTGAAACAGAGTAAGTGCATATGACCGGTGGTAAAGAAATCTCCCAAAACAAAATCATATACAATCAGTGTAGAATCTCTAAATGCAAACAATATCATGCTGTCTAAATCTATGTAATTGTTGTTGCTGTACACAAGGATATAATACAAATTAATCACAACAAATATGATGTGAATACTGACAATCAGAAAAATTTGGGTCATTTTCATGTTGGACGAGAACCTGAGACAAGTTTTAATGCCAACGTATAATTACCTCAAATGCATTACAAGCTTTTACATTTACCGTCAATGGAAATAACCCTCACCAGAAGGGAAGGAAATGAAGTGATGTGTTGAAAATAGGCCATACAATGTTCACAAAAGACCCACACAATGATATCTGAAATGAAACAGGCATTCTTTAAAAATGGAGGGGAATAAAACACCCAAACCTCTCACTTGAAAATCATACAGTAATGCTACACATCTACTAACAAAAAACAAAACACAATGTCAGGATTGTTCGTCTAGTTATGCTTGATGTTCATGATGGCATCGTGGAAATCCTTTGCAGGCCCTGATTTACATACTCCACATTTGCAGTATTTATTTATTTTTGTTCTTTTTCTTCATTCTTGATATTCTTGAAATGAGATAAGTGTACAATTATTATCTTATCTTGCATGTACTGAAGCACTTTACATGATGATTGCAAAAAAGTGGCGTATAATCATATCAACCCAAGACGGATGAAAATCATGTTCCAAAAGCATATCATAACATGATTACATACAAACTTTGTCTAAATAAGATCATAACAGCAACCTTTAGTGCAGCTGATGTTTATGTAGCGAGCTTTGAAACTGAAGACATGATTTGACCTACAACCCTTGTTATATACTGCATTTCAACAACTATATAATCGTCTTTCAATAATAGTCTCCTGCGCTCCAACAATAAAGACTTATTGGCATGAAACATTTGCAATTAGCATCTTTCAATTGGAATAACATAGCAACATGTACAAATTAAAAACAGTTCTGAGTGCATCATGCGGAAGTCCTATGGCTTCAAAAATTGCAACATGTATGTACAGAGATAGTCTTTAGAAAACTGATTTTGTGTATGTGTGAATGGGAATGTTTGAGCACATATGTACGGTATTGTGAGAATGGGTTTTAGTGCAGGTAGCCTTCCTTCTGAACCCTTCACAACAAAGGTTCAATTGTAGAAAAACCTTGATATATATGGCGCGCAAGTACGTCCCTTAAGTACGTCAGAGCAAAAAAAGTCTCTATTTTCCACTTGGCAACATAAAAAAATATTGTGAAGGGGCAAAAACCCATTGATGTCTCAGGCCTAATTCACGTAATACAGCCAGTAGATCAAGTTGAAAAGAGAGAAAGCTGAAGGAAATATTATCCGTGACCATCGATCGATGGCGTTCACGTCTGTGAGGTCAGGGATTTTGATTTTGAGCTGAGAAGAGCGTCTACGTAGCCGCGGTTTCTTGGGCTGCGTGTTCCTGTCCATGCTGTGGCGGCCATCGGGCCGTGCAGTGCTCTGTTTTCGATACTGGATCCCTGAGTTATCGAACACCATTGAAGTGGAGTTTCGGGCCTCGCTAACGCTGGTGGTGACCTCATTCCCAGCCACCTCATTGTGGATCTCCAGGGTGGTCAGAAGGATATTTCCCTGGGAGTCCACCTGCAAGCACAGACAATCCTGGTTACCACGTTTGTCTTTAACTTTATAAAGCCTACTGTATTATATTTGATACAAAAATTTCTAAGGCCATGATCAAAACTTTGCTGAAAAAAAGCTTCTTTTTCTAGTTGAGTGTGAGCTCCACTAAAGGTTCTAAAAGGCACTAAAGGTGAGTGTGAGCATCTAAAGGTTCAATAAACGGATACATTTACATTTTTTTTTTCATGTCAGGCTTTAAATGGTACACAATTGTACAAACAGTAATATTAAAAAGTAATTTAAAGTTGATAAATAAATAAAAAAATGATAAATAAAAAGCTGATCACAAAAAAATAAAGAATGAAAAAGCCGTCAATGTGCTCAGAACAGTTCTTTGCACAAAAGTGAAAGACAACTAGCTTCATGAGGCTATGTTTATCACAATCTTGTCATTTGAATTAGATTCATCAGTTACATTATGTAACCACTACATCGGAATGCTCACAAGAAAAAAATAATAAAGGTATATATGTAAAGCCCTGCCATAGACACATGACACAGACATTAATTACCACTGAAGTGCTGGGATCTCCAGTACAGCATACAGAATTGAAAAGCACTCATCTTATAATCTCTAGTACTACAAAAACATCAACATGCTAATGCATCATTGTAGTAACAGTATGATAATGAGATGCTCTAAACAAAGTTATATTCAGTATAATTACATTGCACAACTGTAAGCTCAAATCATATTTAGGTTATAAATGGCTGTTTTGTTAATGAGCTGAATCGAGACTACTGTAAAAAAAAAAGAACAAGTTGCACAAGTTGGTAACCTTACAAGGATCATATTAGAGAGCAGAAGTTTTCATCTATCAAGTGTAGCTTTGAAACTGTAATGTAACCTAGACAACATAGGAGCCCTAAAAAAGCAATTTATTTGTCATAATCTTATTTAATCAATAAAAAGAAATTTGTTTATTATATGGTGCACACACAGAACAGAATTACTGTGGATTAAAATAACAGTATGAAACAAGGGAAAAATGCTAAATGACACAAGTAATTGCTATTTTACTGAAAAGCAAGTTCAGGCTATTTCACAAGAGGAGATCCCTCCATGAGACTGATTGTTTATTTACTGTTACCTTAGAGTCTCCGCAATAATAAATAATTCAGAAATACATTCTTGCAAAAATATCATTACAATCTCAAGCTCACGTCGTAATCTTGATCAGTGTTTGTGATGGGGTGAATGAGAGAACCGCAACAGTACATGAGTATAGCATATTATTGCGCTGTGGGATGATGAGCACTGAACCAGAATGTTCAACTGAATGAAGTGGATTTCTGGTAATCTTGCTGAACTTTCAACTGGACCAGAAATCACACCATTACATATGAAGGAAGAAAAAAAAAAACAAAGAAACAAAAGCTGGCACAAAATAACTTGTGTTTTGAGTGGTTCTCAACTAGTTTTGAATCAGGACCCAAATTTTACATTGGATATCAAGCAGCGACCCAAAAATGTAATTTTAAAATGAAAAGTTTCTAAAATCAAACTTTGTCATTTATTAGCATTACATGAACTGCATTAGCAAAATTCTAAATAAAATAAAATAAAATCCAAAATTGATATGACAGAATAATATAAAAAATAAATTTGTTTTAAGATGTTTCTTGAATTTTTATGGTTTCATGCATTACAGTCTACCAAGTGCTTAAAACCATTGAACACTCAGTCTTGGACATTAACAAGAAAACATATGGGAAGCATTTTCTAACTTTCTAAAAGTTAATAAGCCTATTTTTCCTAGCTGTAAGAACATATGTACGTACGACCCACCAGTTGAGAAACACTGTTTTGCGGCAAAAGAGAGGGAAACTGTTGCTAGGAGGATTTCAGGAGGAAGCTTACAAACGTTGACACAACAGCCAGCAAAACACACACTCACCCCTTGTGAGTGATGGTGGCCTTGTACCTGATTGGATTGTTTAACAGATGATGGCTTGCAGTTGCCTCCCTCCTGAACAGACTAGTCAGAAAAAACACAAACAAGAGTTTGTTCTTCATCTGCTATAAACCACAAAAATCTCAACTTGAGTCTGGAATTTGTCTTTTGATTAAAAGGGAAAATGACATATTTCAGGACATTGTGGTTGTTGCATAACTATTCACATGCGGATGACAGTGGCCATACAGTATTTCTGACACAATATTCCAGGGTCAAACATGCAGGAAGAATAATGACTTTCATCAGTAGTGGGAGAGGCTCTTAAATAAACTTAAAAAAAAAAACTGCAGCATTTTCCAGCAGGAAAGTATACGGTACCACTCGAAAAAGTGCAGCATGGAAACAGCATATGGCTTAGCAAACATGTTGCTTAATTTGATCATATTAACACCATGTCCTAACCAGACATGATGTGACAAGATTCCAGCAACAAGCAATTTGTCAAATCACAAATCAATCAATAATCCATCACAAATCACAGTCAAACAGAAGAGTGTGCTTGCGGGATCTCTGCAAGTGCACTGCACTCGCAACAAAATGGGTAAGTACATAATCTAATTCATAAATATTAAACCATTTTAACATTATTAAATATACATACTGAGTGACTGATACAATCTTTGTTATGGAATACAGTTGTTTGTTCACACTGAGTTTAAATGTTACTGATCATGTTTCCTTTATTTTCAAGATAAATTAAATTACCCATAGGCACTTTAAGCATGGCTATAAAGGGTCACGCAAAATGATATTCAAACTTATTTTAGACACTTTTAACATTAAATAAAGCACATAATCATCACTTGAGATGATCATTGTCATAGTCTGTATGTTGCTGTTCCAGCCTCTAATTCGCAGAAGTAGAAACCTTTTCTAAAATAGAATCCTGTCATGCGCTGAGTATTGCGGTCACAGCTGGTTATGACAAAACCTCTGTTTAACATGGAAAAGATGCCTTTTATTGCCTGTCGAAGTGTCGGGGTGAGGTGTGAGGATTATTTGCATGCAGCACGTTTTTGGTTCATGGTTTACATTTATAATTGTATCAGTTATAAAACAGTGTTGTACAGTACTGCCCCTAGTTGTCTAAAGCATTTTGAAGGCTTTTACAAATCTTTATTTCTTTTAATATTGCAGTGTTGTCAGCTAATGATGTTGCATTGTTACTTAATTTTCACACACTTCATTACTGTTACTTAGAAACTTCACATTTGTGTTTTTTCCTCTTCTTCGCTCATGCTATTGTATCATATCCCCCACAGCTACCATAACACAACTTTTCATTTGAAAAAAATTAAACATGCTAACACTCAATTCTTTAGCACACAATACAGTCATTCTCCAAACTGGCATGATTGCAATGGATAAAAATGACTTTTACCATGTTGCCGTCATACTTGTTGCGGTCGTTATTGGCTTTTTCAGCTTTCTCGGCCAACTTCTTCTGCATCTGAGGTACGTGTCCAAAGAAAATGTAGTTGACAAAAGCATATTCCAGCAGAGCCAAGAAGACAAAGACGAAACAGCCCATCAAATACATGTCTATGGCTTTGACATAGGGGATCTTCGGAAGTGTTTCTCTAAGGTGGGTGTTGATAGTGGTCATGGTCAGCACAGTGGTAATACCTGTATGGGAAAATTGCATTTATTATTATTAATAATAATATTTAAGTAATATTAAATAATAAATAAATATAAAATATTACATTTAATAGTTCAGCAAAAATAAAAAAAAGTCAATTTTTTTGATAATGTTGCAGAAAAAAATAACATCATACAAGTTAGAAACGCCATGAAGGTTAGTAAATAATGACAGAATTTTAATTTTGAAGTAAACTATCCATTGCAAACTTTATGCACAGATAGTCCTTCTCAGTACAACCAAGTGTAAATAATTTGAAAGTACAAGCTTGTGGAAGGCAGAACACATTGACACTGAAATTTGAGGGAAAGACTCAGCCAGGGATGAAAGCGCTCTCATTTGACACCTCTGTTCCAACGCCCACCATGAATCTGGACTCTGAGAATGGGTGCTACAGATTGAGTGCTGTGACAATGTTTAAAATGCCAGATCCGAGACCTGCTTAGTAAACGGAATTACACAACCACAATGCTGTCAAATCTAGCTATGAATAATCCACTAATGATGGCAGATGCCTGGTTAACTTCATAATTGATTGCAATACCAAATAAAATGCTGTTTTAGCCTTTAACTGACAGCTTCCGAACCTTTAATTGCCACTACAAAGCCACAACACTGCACCCTTTTGTATATTATGCATTATGTGAGTGCTAACCTTATCTCATTATAGCCTATTGGATTCATTTGTACCAAGGCCAGATCTGAGAAATTGAGAATAACATACAGAGTATAAAACAGCATGACTGATCAACTTGGCCACAGCTGAAGAGAACAGCCCAGGACTGTTGTTGTATTTTTTTCCTTGAGTGTCTTCCTCCCTTTCCCCAAGCTTTCCCAAATGCTATTCATATTTAATAGAATGCGTTATATTATAGATTATATTATATAAATAGAAAAGTCAATAACATTTTTCTATTTTCTATACATTTTATTGATTCTATGCTGTGATACTCTATTCTGTTTATTGTATGAGTCAATCCTGAGTCAGTATCACTGTAAGGGGAGCAATACTCCAACTGCTCAAACACCCACTCGGATATGTACAAACACACACACACACACACACACACACATACACACACATACACACACACACACACACACAGAGAGAAGAGAACACAAATATACTGTTGAAACTCCCACTCTGTAAAATATCTATTTTCCCAAACTTTTTCCAAACACCAGCAATCTGCCATTATTCAGAGTTCTCTCAATTCTTTCAGATGTGTGGTGACTTTTGGGAAATGATGGTTGTAGATGAGGTAAGACGAAGAGACCCTCTGACCAACATATATAATACTTATATTAGATTTTTTTGAAAGATTTTATGATATATATATATATATATAATTTTAGATTCTTTTTTTATGTTTTGATGCCACTAACCTGACAAACCTTGCAAATCCATTGTCAAAAGTGCTTTTATCAACAACAACAAAAGAAATCCCTGCATGCCTTCACTCCCACGACTTGTGTAAAGTCAGCCAATCAGATTGGAGCTTGCCAGATTGAGAAAGTGCTTTCCAGTTTTGTGAGCAATATGCATCAGTCAGATGGTCAGCAAACAGGCTGTGGGCGGTCTGAGGACGTGCCGTCTGAGAGTGAGACCAGTTGAGACATATATTAATGTAACTTAGCACTGCTTTCAAGGAGATTTCCTTATGAATAGCCTTGGTATCAAAACAAAAATCACTGTCTATGTGTAAACAATGATAAACAATGTCAAAAACATATTTGAGGTTAAAAACAGTTTCTTCTGAAAAGGTATTTTGAAAAAGTCTTTTAGTCTATACAGAGAAAGTTGACAGAATTAATAGTTTTTTGGACCCCAACGTTCATCGTTTTGTAAAAGAAAGTAACTCTGAGGGTGATGACAGAACTTAAATTTTTAGGTGAACTATCCCTTTAACATGACCCTATGTGTCATGTCTGCTCTGCATATTTAGTAGTTCTACAGTACCTTTCTGCAAATCTAATTTTCAGATTAGACATAAATCTGCTTTACGAACGTCGGCTCCTGGTTAACGCTGCCACTCAAATCAATGTGTTTGTTGCCGACTCTGCTGTAGCTGTGGTGGGACATAAGTGTGAATATGCCTGACTGCAGCAAGAAATGAAATTGTCAATATTTCTGTTGCCCTGCAAAGGACCGACCTCTTTTACAACAAACACAGCAAGGCTCCATCATAGTTGAGCTAATTTCTCAAACAAACTGCCAACTTCCTCTCCAAATCACATTGCAAAACTACTTGAAGACCTCAAGGAAGTAATGAGCATACATCCCGACTATAACAAGCCTGATCTTAGCTTAGATCTCTAGCACTAAAGTTACAGACTGTTACTTTGGGTTTTTCCTCTAATTACAGTGTAATTAGTGCAGGACAGTGTGCTTTACAGGGGACCTTGTCTCCGTCACATTCACACTCCCTAAGGAATGCTGTTACCTCGTTAACGAGAAAAGGGTCTCGTCGACTGACTGCAAAGCAGCCATGTCCTAGTTTCTACCCTGAGCAGCATCACATTAACATTTAAAGTTACATTAAGCACAATTCCTGGAATTACAATCCAGGCACTTTTCGAATGAGACTCTGACTACCCAGAACATCTCAAACAGTGGGTTTTAAAATAATCTACATGCTTTTCTTATATTCTCTTGTCTCCTGACTATTTAAATGGCTTTAATAATTTAGTGTTAACCCTAATGCTGCAGAGAACAAGTTTCCCACTGAATAAAATGATTTCTTTACAGAATTTTGAGGTGAACATCCTTTGTGTTCACCTAGATTATGCGTATTCTTTAACAGTGTTTCCCAACCTTTTTTTGTCTTATACTCTAACCACCCCACAAGTAAAAAAGAAGAAGAAGAAAAAAAGGAATTGATCGAATTTTCATTGCACTGGATATAATTAACACTATTAAATAAATAAAGAGATGCAATAACTTTTGTCTGATGACTTTATATTGTCTAAATGCACATTTTCATCTAAACAATTTTGTTTAAATAAGATTTAGCTTTTTCTGCCTTATAAATAAGTTGAAAGTTATAACTATACAAAAACAGTGCACTAAAGCAGTAATATTGTGACATATCATTACAAATTATAATAACTGTTTTCTATTTTAAAATATTTTAAAATGTAATTTATTCCTGTGATGACAAAGTTGAATTTTCAACAGCCATTACTCTACAGTCTTCAGTGTCACATTTTTTTTAAAATAAATAATTTATTTATTATTCATTTCAAGCAAATAGATAATTTCTTTAAAAAAAAAAATTTCTGACCCCAAACTTTTGAACGTTCTATGAATAATGTGTATATTAATCTATAACACATTCAACTAATTAATATTCATTGAATTATATGTAATTTTATAAAGCAATAGCTACCCTTGAGTTGCTGCTGATTGGATAGGAATCACTGGTCTTTAGAATCAATGACCCATCTGTCATAATCTCACAGAATTAACTTTACATAGCATCATCAAATTTTCTACTGTAGAAAAAGGTGAGCTGTCACAGAACTGCACAAAATAGCAAACTAACATTAGCATGTCTAGCCTCTCAGACCTTTTATTCACAAGCTTTATTACTGGAGTTGAATATTAGAATGTAGACTACAATTTAACACTTCACTCCCACAGTGTGTTCACTGTAAAGGCCCGAGTCCCCAGAGTGAGAGAGGACATGTGTGGGCAGATGGATGCCTGTCCTAGCTTACATAAACTCAAAAGCAGCGTTCTGGTGTGAAGAAGAGGACTGTACATGGAGCACACTGCATTGATTTGTGCATGACCAGGTCACAGCAAGGGAGAATCAAACTCAGCTCAGCACAGAGAGTTCAGCGCAGGGGAGTTATCTAACCAGAACAAACATCTACCTTCACACAGACCTGTCTGCAGTGAATAGTGTAGGATGTCGTTCTTTTGAGTTGGACTTTAGAAAGTGAAATGCACAACATCGGCAAGCACTAAAGATGTATTTCGGATTGCTTTCAGGCACTTTGACTAGATGAGTTTAGTCACCCAAAACTGAAAACTTTGTCTTTATTTTACTTACCTTTATGTAATTCCAAACCTGTACAGTATGGCTTTTACTGTACAAAACAAAAGGTTAAAAGTTGAAGGCCACTCATTTCAAAATGATGAAAGGGAAGATGGTCAATATCCAAAATGACAAAAAGTACAATTAATGTATTATAAAAAGTGGTTAAAATGATTTGTGTGCTATATTTCAGATCTTCTAAATAGTGCTGGGCGATATGACCAAAAATTTATATCACGGTATTTTCCAAAATTATACCGGTTTCACGGTACATGGCGGTATTTTTTTTTTTCATGCATGACCGGGTGCTAAACATATTTTCTACTGATTTGCTTAGTAACACATACAGCTGTTCCCTCACTACAGTGCAACAGTGAAAAGGGACCCCTTTCAAACAGTGTCACGTTCCGAACGTTGTTTAAGCGACATACACCGGTATTGCGGTATTTTAAAAATTCATATCATAACAAAAATAAACACCGGTATTCGGTATGAACCGGTATACCGCCCAGCACTACTTCTAAAGCTACATGTTGTTTTAAATAAGAACTTGCATGGTTAAATAAAAGTTAATGATAGCTTTGTGTGAGGAACAGACAAAAATAACACAATATTCACTGAAAATCTTGACATCTGTCCTGGAAGAAGATTACAGAACCGGCTTTCTGACAAGATGCGCGTTAAATATCGCATGCGATTTATCGTGCAGCCCTAGTAGCAACTCATAAAGGAATTGTTCAATAAATGTGTTGATCCAGTGCACAAAACCTTTCTTAATTCTGATTTGTTCAAGAATCTGACTTCATCACACAAAGCTATAGTATGATTTCAGAAGACAATTTATATTTTGTGGTGCTTTTTTTTTATTCTTGAAAGCGTCGGTCCCCATTCATTTTAATTACATTGAAAAAGATAAACCAGTACATTACATAAAAATTTCTGCTTTTGTGATCAAAGAAAGAAGAGGTTTCATATACTGTAGGTTTGGAATGACATTGGGGTGATTAAATGATGAAGAAGTGACTGAATCATAAAAAAGTGGCCGTTTAATATTAGAGCCAGACACAATGCAAGTTTGCGAAAGAAAGAAAGAAAGAAAGAAAGAAAGCTTAATAGATATTTGGCAATTGGTAATTTTAACGAGATTAGGAATGTACATTAAAAAATAGATTTTGATTTCATGTCGATTTCATTGCTTCCAGTATTTCATATGCAGTGCTGGACTACAAATATAACTCACCATATGCTCTGCTTTAGTCATTAGCCAGTCTTGAGATCTTATGATAACCTCCCCTGAAAATCGATATGCCTGACCACATCAGCAAAACAATCGGAAGACATCAATGAAACATCATCTACATCATTCGATATGTTTGCTTCTTGCATCATTTGATAACTTCTTTTTTGAAATGAATGAAGTCCTTAAGTGTGCTGCAGTAATACAGTGCGAGATATAGGACTGGGGCCGGGCCGGATGTGGCTGCAGAGAATATATGGAGTCAGTGAGCAGTGGGAGGTGGCGAGACAGAGGCATTTAAGGCAGAGATTCATCTGTGCTGCAGCATACCTTGGGATTGAAATGGAAGTTAAATGTAATTGTTTTCTAGCTGCATTGATCCTTTTGTTTTCATTTGGCTGCCTGGCTGTGGGAGGACATCAGAAAAAGACAAAGAAAAAGAGGAATAGAAACAGAGAGAGAGAGAGAGAGAGTAACAAAATAGATAGTGGGGGTGGGGGGCTTGTAAAGATGTGTAGAGGCAGGTGAGATGGGTGGTATATGTGTGGGGGACTCCTTTCTTCCAGTGTAAAGTGTTCTCATTTCTCCACTTAACATGGTTAATGAGGACAATTTCCCTAAAGAAGGCCCATATCCAACATATCACATCCATCTCAAAGAGCTGCACCTGAGTGCATGAACAAACACACTCTCGCACACATTAAACATGTGATTAAAAAAATATTGTACTGCACTCTGTGATCTATCTCTGTGATTTAAATATGCCCAGATGATAATATTGTACATGCACAAAAGACTCTTCAGTAGAAGCTTTTGTAAATCCGAGCTCCTACGTTCCGAGTTTGGTGTCAACACAGGCAGTGAGTAGGCTGGAGGCAGTAAGACTGAAATTTAGTTTAAAAGACGCTCACAGTATCTCTGTTTCACAACCAAGAAAGCTGCCTTGCTGTCAACTGTCTAAATAGGCAGGTGCCTCCTAGGCAGCATCCTGAATGAAATGGAACAAGCTGCTCATATTTTTAACTATAGTTCAATTATACAGTAGCTTTGGATATAAAGGTAGTTAGCAATACTACAGACTAATAATAAAAAGTAGTCAACTGCATTATTTCAATAGGGGAGAATATTACAATTATATATGCTATTATTAAATTATACCATATACAACGTTCATAATTTGTGATAAGATTTGTTCATGTTTTTTAAATAAGTCTTTCTCGCTCCATTTAGAGTATTTGATCAAAAATAGAGTAATATTGCTGAAATATTATTACAATTTAAAATAAACGTTTTCTATATAAATACATTATAAAGTGTTATTTATTCCTGTCATGGCAACTGAATTTTTAGCAGCCATTACTCAAGTCTTCAGAAATCACATGATCCCACAGAAATCTGATAAAAGTAAATAAGTAAATAAAAGTATTATTTTCTTGTATGTATATAATTTTACATATAAAAAGGGATATTACTACTTTTTAAAATTACTGAAATAAGTATTAAAATATTATTTTTAACTTCAGTGTAAAAATAACGTCACACAAGCATTTTTGAATGGGTCAATAAAAAATGTCTAAACAAATGGATTCACTAAAAGTCATCAGATTTTCTTCATTTGACAAAGAGTGTAAATCTTAAGTATTTATTTGTTTAGTTCGCTTGGCTGCAAATCTGGATTTTACATTTAAAGAATTTTTTTTTTTTTTTTTTTTGCTACTCAAAAGTTTGCAAGCTACTCAAAAGTAGCTTGTTGCTGGAGAAGCTACACTATTTTTGTAAACTCTTTTGTAAAGTCTTGCTACTGAAAAATTTGGTAAAGTTAGCCACACATATCTACTGTACATTGTAAAAAAAATCTACGATTATTTGAATATGTTTTAAGAAAATATTATTTAAATTTCTCTACTTTAAAATTTCATTTAATTCAATTAGTTACTTTCCATTTTTTTGCCGTTGTAAAAGTTTCTAGCAATTTCTGTATTTTGTATTTTCTGTAATTTCTGTAAGTTTTCAGTATAGCACTCTTTGTATAAAAATACATGACACACACAAATGTTACATACTATATAAATGTAGACAGTAAATCTCTCAGGTTTTTGCCTTCACAAAAAGACTCCTTAGAATTTGGGCAAAATTTGGAACCCTCTTCATAATGGAAATGTGTCTTAAAAGGAAGTTTATGCTGGGTTTTGAAACAGAGCTTTTGTGTCTTGCTACTCGCTGCAGCTGGAGAGGTTCTGTAGCCTTTCGGGCAAACTGAGTCACTCCTCATTCTGGAATAACAACATCAGAGCAAAAACACACATACTGAGAACAGTCTCTCTCTCTCTCTCTCTCTACGTGCAGTCGCTGTAGTGTGTCAAAAGCAATGGGTGTGTGGCTACCTGGGTCAACCCTGTTCCTTGTTAAATGATGCATGCGCCCCTACAATATCTGTCTGTGTATGTGTCTGAGTGTATATGTGTGTGTCGGTGTTTGTCTGGAGGCAAGATCCAAGAAAAAGTAAACCAAAGGGAGGGCGAGGACTCTGAGGAGACCTGGCGTGCGTACAGAAAAAGTTGCAATTCAAATAGAATACTGAATGTTGGCATTCTAGTTATTGGAACATCCAACAATGTGCTGTTAAATAAAGCATGCACATCCACAGTGGAAACGACAGATGACATACATCCTGTCAGCTGTATACAGGACATCCTAATGAATAAATAGCATACCTAATGCCACTCTGGCTGCTGAGGCATCATAGTTGATCCAGAAGGAGACCCAGGACAGGATGGTGATCAGGATTGAGGGCATGTAGGTCTGCAGGATGAAGTAGCCGATGTTTCTTTTTAGCTTGAAGCTCAAAGATAGTCGAGGATAGGCACCTGTTAAAAAAATAAGAAAGGTAGTCAAAGAATATTAAAAAGAAAGAGAAGCGAGGAAAAGAAGTAAATAGGCAGACATGAGAGAGAAAAAAGACGGATATTTATTTCAAAAAGCCTTTGGAGAAATTCTCTACATTTTACATCAGTAGCACTGGAGGGGTAGCTTTTGTTGCTATGGCAACTGGCAAGCATGCACAAAAAAAAAAATCTGTGATTTGTTGTAGCTTAGCCTTAAGCACAAACACCACAGTGTGAAAGGAGACAAGAAAAGAGAATGAAATAGTGAGTAAACATTAAATGTTAAAGCCCCCTATGAAATCAAAACAAGACTTTTATGGCTTGTAGTCCATGTCTATTAGTTTTGAAGCCATCTATTCATTAGAACACTTCTAAAGGCCCGTTCACACCAAGAATGATAACTATAAAGTTCACACCAGCGGACGAGCACACTCGTCTGCCACTTTAAATTCTCCAGCTCGTTATAGCAGGATTGATTCTGATTGGCTGTCAAAGTTTTTATCATTCATCAGATGGAGAAAATCATTCTGAAAGTAATTTCAATGATATTGTTTCTCTGTGCCTTTATTGTTATAGCTGTGGTGTGGACTCCTAAATTCTTTAACGATTTTTAGAACTATATCTTTATCGTTATCTTTATAGTTATCGTCCTTGGTGTGAACAGGCCTTAAGAGTCAAAAAAACAAATACATTATATAAATTGAAAATGTACAGGAAATTGGACCAAAAACATACTTAATGTGCACTATAAAGATATTTCAATGAAATCTTCTATAAACAGAGAATGCCCTTCCCCCTACTGAAATAATATTCTCTCTAAACTTATATATATATACAGTATATACAGTACAGTCAACACAGTAAAGTCAGAAATAAATTTTTCTATTAAGGGGCAATTTTTATCCCATGGAATTTATCTTAATTAGCTTTTTTATTATTTATTTATTTTAACTACATATAAAATATACTGTTATGTATTGTCATTTGTATGTCAAAAACTTTTATATTCAATTCGATTCAGACTCCAAATAATGAAATGTCAAAAAACGTCTCGGTTACGTATGGTAACCCTCGTTCCCTGAAGGAGGGAACGGAGCGAGGTGGAACACAGGGACCCAGCTCGGGCGGCTTGTGAGCGGGCCGGAGAGGGGTGTGAGTGTGGGGTGCAAGGCTCACCTGGTTCCATGGGTTGGCAGAGGGTACATGAGTAGGGCCTTTGTTGACGCTCTCGAACTGCCCGCTGCTGCTGGCTGGCGGAGGAGGAGGATGAGTGAGGTCCAGCGTTAGACTGTCCGCAACTCTCCGTGCCCTCCTGGGACCCAGAGATAAAGGAAACTGCTCTTTTGTCGAGAATTTGGGTACCGTCGGCCGTGAGGCCAACGGCGGGAAAAAATGAAGCGAAAAGCTGGTATGCATTGCACCTGCTGCCTTATTATACTCACACTGTGATCAGCGGCAGCTGGATGCAATAATTGCATGCCAATGTGCATTGGCTTGTTTAGTTTACACTCGAAGTGGATTGGTCTATCGAAGCGATATCCCAATTCGTCGGTCACCGACGTGACTCGGAGTGACCGACTGAAAGGGAATGTCACTTTTATTCATACAGAAAAAAAAAAATTATAAAAAAAAAATGTAATCAACAACAACAAAACTCCTTACAAAGGCAATTTTTGCCATTATATTTTTAGTACTTTTGTTATATTCTGTGACATTTTTGGGCCAAGACCCAAGACAGATTGATTTGACCACATTTACCACTGTTTGGGGAACTTTTACAGACAAAATGCAGTAATTTCAATAAAAAGCCACACATATTTTGCTGCTTGGTTTGAAAGTGACTTTTGTGTGAGCTGTGTTTAAAAACATTGCTACACTATTGACAACATACCTTTTTGTCTGCAAAATTTTGTTGAAATTTCACTAATGTGTCCTTTAATATTAAGAGTTTGAATCCCTGTTTAATGTTGAAATAAATTGTTCAACCCTGTTCAAGTCTGTCATCAGTCAAAAGAACAGAAGGGGTTAGTATCAACACATCATGGTGAAATGTTGCCTTATAATACCGATATGATGCAAAAATACACAAGAGTGATCTGACACTGAACCATGCAGCTTATGTGATGAGAAATCTCTGCTTAGTTATTTATGGAGGTGAAAAAAGCAACTAACAAGCATTCAGCCTAGATACACATACACACCCAAACATGCACACAACCTATGAACAAAATCACACATCCTACACACATATAACACAACCTACAGATGCACATTATGCAACCTGTACACATATTACAGTCTATAAAAACATGCTACGTAAACTACGTTATGAACTTAAGCTACCTACAAATACTTTAGACTAATTACTTATACCTTACAAAAACCTTCCCACACAAATCACGTACAGACACACATATGTAACACTCCCCTCATCTTCTATTGGTCAGAGAAACAGATGTAATTTTGGGCTGGTCATGGGGTCAAGGTTTGGCTGGTTAGCCTGGGTCCTTTAGCATCTGCTAGAGGGGGGAGTGAATGTACAGTGCTCTCTTCCACCTTCAATACCATGACTGAGGTGAGACCCTTGGCACCAAACCCCCAACTTCAGCTGCAGCAAAAAAGGCTGCCCACTGTTCTGGGTGTGTGTTCACGGTGTGTGTGTGTTTCTTCACTACTCACTGCTGTGTGTGCACTTGGATGGGTTAAATACAGACCACAAATTCCGAGTAAGGGTCACCATACTTGGCCACACGTCACGTCCTTTCCTTCTATATACAATGTGGACCCAAAAATGGTCATCAAATCTTCTTCATTGACAGCCAATAAAAATAGTCTGAATTCTGACAACATTTATCTTTTTCTAGAAAAAGCTTATCATGGCATCAGCAATACAGTCACATCCTCCTCAATCACAACCTCGCGATTCCCAAAATCCTTTTCAGTATGTGCAGAAGATAGCCAGTCTCTTTCTATGTGTCATTAATTCAGGATGGGGAATAATCATTACAGCGCTGCCTCTATGAATGCCTTAGATTTAGAAGAGAATAATTTATGCAGTGGGTCTTCTACCTCATGAATATGTGATGGTTTGTATCAAGTGGCTGTTTTTTCCCCTCTCTGACTCCATCTCTCATTTTCTCCCCCCTTCCTTCTCTGCTCTTCTTTTTAGAAGCTTGAGGAAATAGAGTGGTAATTGCTCCTCCATTATTACTGGTCTGTTTTATCATGAGGAGGGAAGATATCTGATGCACAGGCCCCAATTAGGCAGCTTTTCAAATAAGCGGTCCATGGGAATACATTCTCGAGAGGGTGCGGCCAGAAAACAGGACACCCAGAAAAAAACATTACAAAGAAAGGCATGAATAATAGAAATCACCACTTTTCTGCATGGTAAATACACTTGGTTAAAACATTTCAGCTTGTTCAGAGCTTTAAAATGTTACAAAAACCATAAGAACCATTTTGTGCAGACTTCATGTCAGGGTCTTTTTTGTAGTAAACTTGCACACTGACCCATGTCTCAGAACTTAGCTATACACTTTACTCTTCATCTTAAGGAGTCATGACTGCAAGGTTGCAAATATTAATCATTTGTCACCTCATATGTTGCATTTGGAATAAAGAGGCAGGCACAATCTAAACAGTTTTAAGTTTCAAGCTTGTTTATCACTTCATGTTTCATTATAAATAAAGAAGCAGACACAAATAATTAGTTTTAAGTAAGCTTCAAAGATGCTTAAAAAAGTCTCCTGCAATCTTTTTAGTCTTACTGGTTATAATTTCAACCTGTCTTGCTACTTTACCTGTGGAAAAGACAACATTTCTGGACACAAGTTTGTAGTCCACGATGGAGAACTGTGGGAGCTCGATGCGTGACACACCAGTCACTGCATTTTCTCCTCCCTTCCAGTAAAACTCGATGTCATCTGTTGTGTATCCATCTACAGGACAAGCAGAAATCAAATCATGTTTTAGGGGGAGATTTACTGAACTCAGACAGTGCTTCATATTAAAATGTATATATTTATGCAACTTTTCCCTCCTTTTCAATTCTAAGGTTGTGGTTCCTTGAAATTGGATCTTTCTTTCCATAATTAGTGTGTGTAACATATGCTGAAAAGTAAAAAAAAAAAAAGGAAAAAAAAGTGCATTGTTAGCATAATCATGCATATGAGCATCTGTTTTGCACAAGTGTGGGGAGCTGTTAGGAGTCAGATTTCCCACTGTGATATGAAAAAAAAAAAAAAAAAAAAAAAAAAAAAAAAAAGTCAGCACAAGTGCATTGTTAGCAGAATCATGCATATGAGCATCTGTTATGCACAAGTGTGGGGAGCTGTCAGGGGTCAGATTTCCCATTGTGACACAGACAGCTCCATTTCATAACAGCATTGCTATATTTGTAAACCATAATGGTGGTTTTATTAGTGTGCATATGAAGCACTGTGTACAATTAGAGTTGGGTTATTCGGGGGAGTGACTACCATATTCTGTAAGTGAATTTACCTGCTAAAAAAAATCAGGTAGTGACAACTAAATTGTCATTCAAATTTGTACACCACTAAACTGAACAACTAGTTGTTAAAGCAGTGGTGTAATTAAAAGTGATGGTCCACAGAGAGTTGATTGTTTAAATGCAATTAATGAGCATAAACAAAACGCTGCTTCGGTCAACAGAGTTTTACAATTACATGTGCCATACAAGATTCAATACCCTGCAGAGTCTCTTGGAGTAAAATTTGTTTTTGGGGTGTTTGGAGTCAAAAATATTACTCTTTATCTTTTTTGATGTAACTAAAACAATAAAATATTTCCCTTATTGTGCTTTCAGTTAGCCTGCTAACTGATTAGCAAGCTAAGCTAAAATTCCATTATGCATTCAGTTCAAAACAATCAGCCTGCTAAGACGACATATCCAGCAAAAGGTACCTCATAATCACCACATAAAAAAGGTTTAAATTTGAGCAACATTCAAATGTTTAAGGTCAGTTTTTTTAAAAGAAATGTATACTTTTAGTCAGCAAGGATGCATTAAATTGATCAAAAGTGACAGTAAAGACATTTATAATGTTACAAAGATTTCTGTTTTTAAATCAAATGCTATTCTTTTAAACTTTCTATACATAAAAGAATCCTGACAAATATTACGACGCATCACAGGTTCCAAAACAAATATTAAGCAGCACAACTATTAATAGTACATTGATAGTAAATCAGCTTATTAGAATGATTTCTGAAGGATCATGTGACACTGAAGACTAGAATAATGGCTGCTGAAAATTCAGCTTTACTATCACAGGAATAAATTGCACTTTAAAATACATAAAAAAACTTATAAATAATAAAAAAGCAAAGAGACTTCTTTTGTAAAAAAAAAAAAAAATTCTTACTGACCCCAACCTTCTGAACTGTAATATATATGGTAAAATTGATGTGGTAATATCACATTTTCTATTCAAAACCTATAATGAAGTGTAATTATTATTATTATTTTAGGCACCATAGCAGAAATATACAACATTATATTCAATAATACTGCATATTAAATTTTTGCAGCTTCACCAGTGAGAAAAGCACCAAACTAGCACTGACCAGTATAAACCAGCTTGAAACAGCATGGAAATGTATACTGGTCTTTGCAGCAGGGCATGTGTAGGTGAGTGAGGAGAAAGAACACTTACAACTCTCTATCTCCAGAGTGCAGTTCTGCTCATCTAATGGATACCTTCTCAGATCCATCATGCAAGCGGCAGTGGTTGTGATTCTAGAAACACAGAAACACACACACACACACACACACACACACACACAGGTCACAGAAAAATCAAAGCCACAATTCTATACATTCAGGTACTCACAGCTCTTCTACAGTAGTATATAGCAGGTCTTGCATTTGCTAAACAACACTGCAAAACGTTTGTGTGTCTCATTGTAAACAAGATGAGCAAGATGCCTTCAAAGGGATTTTGAACCAAATATAGCACAGAGCATATGAGTGGACATGAACAAATAGTACAGATTTTAATATATATGAAAATGCGTTTTTTTGTCCCATAAAAGTTGCTACTGAGTAGTAGTATTGCAAGTTGCCAAACAAGCTCAAAGAAAGCCCACATCTAATTTCATTCCATTCATCATGTCACTTTGCTACAAGTGTGAGCTTAGACTAAAATGTGATGACAAATGTTCTTTGTGAGTCAATATCAATGAACATTTAAAGTAAGGTTTGGTTTCGCATCCAGGTAACGATACAATCCAGGTATTGATTTTTCTTACTGGTAACAGCTGAAATATCATAAGTGGAAGATCATGTTCAACCCTTCTAATCTTATCTGGATGAATGCATGGCCATGGTCAGGGGTGCAACCAAGTGGGGCTCACTAAAGTCCTCTAAGGCAGGGGTTTTCAAACAAGAGGGTACTAGTAGATTATTATGGTTTCAAATTTCTTGAATTAATTTTTTGTCCCAGGCTCTGTAAATTTAAGCCACATCCTGGAAAAACATCATTACTTAAGTGTGGTCAATTTTACTGTTGTTCCGTGAATTTTCGTAGACAAAATCCAGTCATTTCATTAGGAATCCATGTAAATGTAATTAATATTATTAGAAAATACGGGATTAGTTTCCACTGTTATTCTGATGATACTCAACTATATATCTCAACAAGACCAGATGAAACTTCTAAATTATCTAAGCTAACAGAGTGTGTTAAAAATGTAAACGATTGGATGACCAATAATTTTCTCCTATTAAATTCTGATAAGACAGAGATATTACTTATTGGACCAAAAGACAGTACACAGAATCTCTTGGATTACAATTTGCAACTAGACGGATGTACTGTTACTTCCTCTACAGTCAAAAATCTGGGTGTTATATTAGATAGCAACTTGTCTTTTGAAAATCATATTTCCCATGTTACAAAAACAGCATTCTTCCATCTTAGAAACATTGCCAAGTTACGAAACATGTTACCTGTTTCTGATGCAGAAAAGCTACTTCATGCATTCATGACCTCTAGACTCGACTATTGTAATGCACTGCTAGGTGGTTGTCCTGAATCTTCAATAAACAAGCTACAGGTGGTCCAAAATGCAGCGGCTAGAGTCCATACCAGGTCAAGAAAATATGATCATATTAACCCAATTTTACAGTCTCTGCACTGGCTACCTATTAAGTTCCGTATCAGTTACAAAATATTATTACTTGCCTATAAGGCCCTTAATGGGTTAGCTCCTGCGTACCTAACTAGTCTTCTACCACGCTACAATCCATCCCTAAGGTAGCAAAACTCTGGACTTTTGGTAGTACCTACGATAGCAAAGTCCACCTAAGGAGGTAGAGCTTTTTCGCATTTGGCTCCCAAACTCTGGAATAGCCTTCCTGATAACGTTCAGGGTTCAGACACACTCTCTCTGTTTAAATCTAGATTAAAGAAACATCTCTTTGGCCAAGCATTCAAATAATGCATCTCATAATCTTGTACTGCAGTTATATCTGATCAAATGCACATTATTATTCTTTAGTTTGGGTTAAACAGATCAATTTTGCTTGGTTGGAACAGCAGCTACGCTAATTATGTCTCTATTTGTTTCTCTGTTTTTGCCACGGGATGTTAACTAGGATTTACACAAGCTTCAGTCTGGATCCAGAACACCTGAGAAGAGATGATGCCAACCCCTCAGAGGACCTCAGATGATGCCAACCCTGAAACAACATATTGAACTACCACATTTTGCTATAAGTTTGATTGCATCATATAATAATTGCTGTTAATAGTGTTCATCGTCTGTTTGATTACGTCTTTTATTTATTTTTCCATACATTTCTGCCATATGTACATTAACTGACAGTCACCACTGATAAGCTACCACTAAATATTGTAGAAACTTAATTTGCTGTAAAGTTGCTTTGCAACGATTTGTATCGTGAAAAGCGCTATACAAATAAACTTGAATTGAATTGAATTGAATTGGGAATTTTGCATGGAGGTGAAAGATTTATGTAGATTTTCCAACTGGTTCAAGTTGCTCACATGGGTTTGCTGCACTGACCAACAGAAAGCTTGGTTCTAAAGTTTCTTCTGTGTTAAATGCATTGCTACACTACTGATAAGAGACAATGGACCTTTTTAGTCTGTGAAATTTCTCCAATGTGACCACATATTAAACTGTGATTTATGCATCGCTACACTACTGATAATGGACAATGTACCATTTTACCTTTTGAAATTTCAAATAAGTTTTGCTAATGTGATTGTGCCTTTACACATAACAACTAGACAGATCATTTGAGAGTTAAAATAACTCCATCATGCATTCAATTAAATTGTTTACTTGTTTTTTTATCCCTACAGATATATATTCAAGTAATAAAGTTTTTTTTAAAGGTGCCCTATTATGCCCCTTTTTACAAGATGTAAAATAAGTCTCGGATGTCCCCAGAGTGTGTATGTGAAGTTTTAGCTCAAAATACCCCACAAATAATTTTTTATAGCTTGTTGAAATGGCCACTTTTAGGGTATGAGCCAAAATGCACCGTTTTTGTGTTTGTCCCTTTAAATGCAAATGAGCTGGTGCTCCCGCCTCCCTTTTCAGAAGAGGGCGGAACTTCAAGAGCTTATGCTCCGGCATACCGGTGTTATGGTTTAACTGGTGGTGACCGTGTTACCGACTTCACATTGCTTCCAAATGCAATTTTTAATTACCACATTCCTGTTTACGATCATTCTGGTAGCACGTGAAGGCAGCATCAGTGAAAACAGGCAGAGACAATGGTAGCTTTAGCAACATTAGCCTTACAGGGAGCCAAGAAGCTCTTTTGGAAAACAAAATATGACGCGTGATGCTTACTTTGTCTGGAGCTGACGTTCGCGCACAAAGCGTTGGTATCGAGTCCTCTTTCAGAAGCAATCTTTGCACAACTCCAGCGCTGAACTGACCCTCGTTTGTGAGGCAGTCCGGCATAAAATGATTAGCACAAACATATAGGACTTTTCCGTTTTTTCCCGAGACATTTTCTTCGAAAATTTAATTTAACCACCGTGTACTCAGCGGTCTATGGAGACTCCTATGTTCGTTGGTGCATCCCGAAACACAACACTTGTAATGCCTCTTTGGCGCCAACATTGTATCTCATAATATCACATCATAATAGGGAGAAATCTGGAACCGCTTGTTTGGAGAGACTGTTTATGATTTATTGGGATTATAAAAAAATGAGTGGGTGGATTTTTACCATTATAAGCTGGTTGTTTTTCACACACTGCGACCACACAACTGTGTTCAAACCTTATAAAAGTGATTTTTGCATTCTATGGCACCTTTAATAATGTCTGTATTACACACTCTCCCTCGATTTAGATTTAAGGATCACCCCCCACACATAAGCATTTTGACATATGAGCATATAGCTTTGGATTGGAGTGGCTACTATGTTTCTGTGGTCCTTCCCTTCTAGAGTGGGTAAATTAAAGAGGAAACTCAGTGTCTTCATTCCATCTTCAGAGCCATTTTAATGAGAGCACACTAAAATGCCTTACCATAAATATGCAGGCTCTTCTTTCTTTAATGACGTCCAGCTCAGGCAAACAAATAAAAGCCCTCCATCCACACTATCGCTTTGTCAAACTACAATATGTGCATTATATGACCAGGGAATTCCCTTGATGAACTGTAAAATTATGTTCAATGGATTGCTGATGTTCCATTTGAACTAAAGGAGATAAATCATAAAAAGACGGAAACGGTTCAATAAACTTTATAAGCAAGAACCATACATTAGCATATGGCTGCATTATTCCACAGGATCTCATTTGGAACTAAACGAAAAACTAAATTAGGCTACGGTAACTGGCTCATAGAGCACTCCAGCTGGTACAGAGGATGAAGGCATACCCATGGTCTTCCGCGTGGGAACGAGCAAAGCAGCTCATTTAGGATCAGAGTCTGATAACACTAAAGGGGTTTAACAAGATAAAGGCACACATTAGCACTTATGCAATTTAGTAGGCGAGTGCACTGAGCAAAATAGGGCACGCTCTCACGATGTGTGTCCACTGAAGCTGAGTACTATCAGACTCTTCCCACAGATGAAACGTCAAATACAAACAAATTGTGTGAAAGGTAGATTTTAGTAAAAAAGAACTTTATTTTAAAGACAAAATACATTAATTTACAATTTATTAAATTGTTATTACATAATAATAAATTATTAAATTAATTCCATTTAACAAATTTAAAAGTATATATATATTATAAAGTATTTTATTGTAATTTAAGATGTTTGTATGTTTATTTGACACATTACTGTATATCTATTAGTGATCAAAAGCTGATTAATCATCAAAAACAAGTAAAAAGGAAATTTACAGGCAAAACAAGCAATACTGGTTGATGGCTCTGAATATGAGACCAGTTCTTACCTTAATCCATAAAGAACTGTGCCATCCGGGTGCAGGCGGATCATGCGGTTCTTCACTGTGACACCGTGGACGAAAGACTTCTTGTCATTTAGGAAATACGTGTCAGGAACCCAGAGCTGGTCAGCTACCCGGTTGTCTAGGGTGAGATTGAGAGGGATCCCAGTATATGCGAGCCGCTTGTCCCTCCAGTACTGCTGGAAATACATGGTCAGTGTGTAGTCCTGTAGAAAATTGAAAAAAAAAACATTAGTAGTTAATTTTATCAGACACATTTATTAAAAAAATATTGAAATCCACAGTATTTAGCCATAATATTTACATCCCAATTTTTTAAAAAAAGAAAAAATGTAGAACTTACATGTATCAATGTGTTTTATTTATCCGTTTTTTTATTTATTCAAAACATAATAAACAATGTCAAATATTGCCTATTTGTGTCTTCATATTTATTTTGATTTGTGCACTCTCTGTGAGGACACACGTGATCCACATAGCACCAGGTCAGAAATGACTAAATAACTTCAAAGTGACCATCACATGTGCCCTTAGCTAACAGCCTTAAAAGGGCCTTTTGTGAAAGTATTCAGCTGCTCACTTTTGTTCTGGAACAACCCTTCAGGTTGTGTCCCCTTCTCGTAGTGTCCTTGAAGGACCCAAAAATGCTGTTCAGAATTCACCCTAGATTTTGTATCAGAGCTCACATGCTCTGTTTTTCCTGAAGGGTCAAAAGTGTCAAGGTCAGAAACAGAAATCCAAATACTGTGGCCTTCAGCAAATAGATTTTCTGTTGTCCGAGGGATATTTATAGAAGCGTCAAAGTTGGATTGGAAACAAGCTGCCTTCGGCCTACATTTTTCAAGCCTGTCTGCCATGAAGACGCTGCGTGGCCATCTCCGCGAGACAGTATGGTCTGCACTGGACTGACTATAGATTTCCATTACACCACTATAGTCTCAGTAGTCCACTCGACATCAGCTCGTAGACCTATACTATATGACCTCAGCAATTCACAGTGTAGAAATTCAATGAAACTAAAGCATCGGCATGATAGGCCTTATATTTGGGCCATCTCTGAGAATCAATGAATTTTAAAAGGGCTGGAATCACGAAATGTATGGACCTTATTTATCCCCTGGGCCAGAGCTGAACCTGGTTGAAATCCAGTAAGAAGGACAAATGTGTGTACTTTGTGTGTCTGCTGAACGGCTATATTAGGTACTCATGGGTAAAATGAAGACCTGAGATGCTGTCCCCCACGATGTGCACAACCTGTTGATGTAATAAGAAGTAATTCACTTACAAACATGTTAGAACGGTCTTAGGCCCCTGAGGCTGACTTCAGAGAGTGCTAGCAGATCTGTGAAAGCAGAGGCTGCATGTGCAAGAGACCGTGTAAGTGGAGTTCATTAGCTAACGAGATGAGGGGGGATGACATGACAGGGACACCTTCTTTATGATTACTAATGTCTGTGATCCCTGCTCTCTCTCAGTCTTCTATTCTTTCCACCCCTGTCCTTACTCCTGCTTCTTATTTTCCTCCTTTCCCCATTCATCCCTTTTCGGTAAGGCTTTTGTTTTAATGAACCCCCTAAATGACACTGATGGATGCTACTCTTTCTCACAATACATTATACCCTACACTATCAAAAGTGTAGATGCTAATTAGAATTAAAAATGCTTTATATCCCAGTCAGTGTTGGATAGTGTTAATCAGTAGCTACCTTTTAAAGGGATGGTTCACCCAAAAATGAACATTCTGTCAACATTTACTCACCCTCATATTTTTCCAAACCTTGTATGACATTTTCTTCTTTTCAAACACATTTTTTTCCCTTTTGTCCATGCAATAAGAGTCAATGTTTAAAAATATTCTTTTGCGTGTGTTCTACAGAAGAAAGAAAGTCATACAATTGTGGAACAGTGTGAGTAAATTATGAAATAATTTTCATTTGGGGTTAAAAAGTAATACAAGTGGCAACAAACAATATTTGTTTATATACACCATTCAAAAGTTTGGGGTAAGTGTTAATTTTTTCAAAAGCAATTAATAATTTTATTCAGCAAGGGTGCTGTTCTTTTGAACTTCTATTAATCAAAGAATACTAAAATATTAAGAAAAAATATTAAGAATATAACTTTTCAACATTGATAATATTAAATGTTTCTTGAGCACCAAATAAGCATATTAGAATGATTTCTGCTGGAATCATTGCTGAAAATTCAGCTTTGTCATCACAGGAATAAATAAAATAGTAAAATATATAAAAATAGAAAAAAGATTTTAATAATAGATAAAAATAGAATAAAAAGTTTTAAATAATATTTCACAATATTATAGTTTTTACTGTTTTTGTAAAAATTCCACCATGGTGAATAAACACTTTTCACACACTTCAAAAAATTTTTTTTAAAGTTTATAAAATTATGAAAACCATGAATTAAAAAAAAATTTAATTAAAAAAGCAACTTTTGCCAAATAGCTTGTGTAACTAGCCAGAATATCTTTGCTAATTATTCTATAAAGTAGCTGGTAGCTTTTTCACAAAAGTATACAAATATACTTATTAAATCTTAGGTTTTGCTAGAGATTATGCTAAGAATCTCCAACTCTCAAATACCTGCAGTTGGGGCCATTTGTGATTTCTGTTTGTGGGGCCGTATGCATTTTCTTGAGGACATCAATCATGTGCAACTATTTTACATATAATATCATCATCAACATCTCTGCACAGAGACCTTTCTATCACAACCATAATGTTTAGTTATGAATTATTAAAAAATACAAATTCCTCGTATGTGTAAACATACCTGGCAATAAAGCTCATTCTGATTCTGATTCTGATGCCCTGGGGGTAAGCAGATAAACATCAAATTTTCATTTTTGGGTGAACTATCCCTTTAATACACAAAAATGTGTACTGAATCATCATAGTCCATTAATCAAACATTAGCTACAACAGTATTTGGTTCCGCCTACCGAAAGCTGGGGTGCCGTGTAAAAAAGTCTGTGATCCATACGGACCAGGCCTCACAATTTAGCACGCATGTGATCCGCGAGTTAGTTGCAAAGTTCAACCATCATAGAGTGAAAGTTCATCATTTGCACATGTTTCTAAGTCAAACGTAAGAAGAGGCGAAAGAGAACTCAATTTGCTATTCACACGCTGTTTTCAGCGCACGCACACTCAAAGCGCACACACAGAGAGATGTGTTTCAGAAAGTGACACAGAAATCTGTTCACTTTCGTGTCTCCTTGCACTTGAACTGACATATACACACAAAATTATCTTAAAATACCCAACAAGTATTCTCGTTAACACAGTTAGTTATGTCTTAAGTGAAGTGAACATAAACAGAAAGAAATCAGATGTGTATCATTATAGTGATCCGTGTATATGGTCTTAAAGGGACAGCAGCTTATAAATACCTGCTACTGACATTGTGTCAATGTTAATCAAACAACAAAACACAACTTTAACAAAACTTAATCTATATTTAATTTATACAGTGAACACTATGCAGTGTAATTTTTCATTTAATAATTACATTTCTGTACCTGAATACTACTGTTAAACCTTATTTTATTGTAGCTTTGTTCTGTTGTATTTATCTAAGCTTGAAATGTGTGTGTTAGCTGTTATGTTTCAACTTTATTAGTTAGGTTATAGTTTTTACTGTGGCATCAAATAAGTACTTAAAGTGTCCTTAAGATGTTATTGAACCATCAGCTTCATCCTCATGTAACAGTCCAGAGCGGGTAGACTGCGGGGCCTGTTGAGCAGTAGTGTTTGTGTAGGGTGCCACAAATTTTTGAAAAATTTGAAAGGGTGCCGTGACTGAAAAAATGTTGGGAAACGCTGAGCTACAGCACACAGTCATCAGTTCACTATTTACTGCACTCCTATATGCTTTGTTTCACAAAACAGATTTTCCAAAATAAAGCAAATAAACTGACCTGAATAAAAGTTGACCTTTACTGGGTTCATATCTGCTTTTTTAGCACTGTTTTAAGACTGGGTAAAAGGAATCCTCTGAATGCCTGTCTGATCCTCAGGCTACGAACTGGTGGCTTCCCTCTGAAGTATGTGGTGACCTAAAACACCAGGATCCATCACGTATGTGTAGGACACTATTGTTCTGTACAAAGGCTAATGCTAACCGGTCAGGGGGCGAGGCTACCATATCAGCGTTCATGAATGTACTAGATGAGTAAATGCCAAAGTGTGACTGTTAGTCATATATCTCTCCATCTGTGACTTTCTGTCTCTTTGCCTCCATGGCTGTTTCTTTAAATGTGTTAGTATATTAGCATGTTCTGCAGCAAGGTGTCTTGAGGCTTTTGTTATGGTGAGTTCCCTGGGTCCTCACTGTGTGAGCTCAGTGATTCAGTACTATTACCCAATGTGATCCAGACAAACTAGCGAACCAGAAGTGCTCTGAAAACTGTGAAAACCAGTGTCACTTACATGTCTGTTTAATAATGGAGTAAACAGATGCTGTTGTGCCAGCTGAGCGATTTGATACTTTTGATATCTGGGGAACTGTGTTGCAGTGGTCACACAAAACATAAGGAAAGGAATCAATCATTCAATTCTAGGCAAAATATTATAGTTTAGTTTATTCAAACTGCAAGGAGAAAATAGCTAAAAATAGAGGTAAAAATCATAGGTTGCTGCTTGCTACATCTGAGGGTATGACTCCTCAGTAAATCAGTGTTGTTGTTCTCCACTGAGAGGTTCAAGAGAGGGATTCCCTATGATAAAGTGACACCACATTCTGACATATACACCACTTCTCCTGTGCCACAGATAAAAATAACTGATGAAATGCAAGAGAAACAAACAGAGAGATATTATTTCAAATCTGAAAGTGACAATCTGTTAATGTAGGGACTGATATCAAACACATGGGAACTCACCACAGAACTGCAGCATGGATTTACTCCTGCTACATGCAGATTAGCTACAGTTTACACAAGATTTGTGGGAACCAGGCTAGAAAAAAAATATATAAATTAATTATTGTAAATGTATTTTTATTGTAAAATAATAATAATAATAATAATATTAATAATGCTGTGAGAGACTTTATAGAATAAAAGGCAAATTATAAGTTGTTGTTGTTATTATTATTATTATTATTATTATTATATACAATTTGGAACCACTCATATATTAAAACTAAAAGTTAAAAGTTTTTGGGTAGGATAAATCATAGTAAA